CCCACTTGTCCCCTGCATTGCTGCCTTCTACAGGCTGTGGGGGGGTCAAGGCGGAAGCCAGCTTAAAAGCCAGCTCCACACAGCGCTGGCTTCATGGTGCCGCCTCCCCTGCACTGCTGCCTCTATCAGCAGTGGGGTAGGGGGGAGGGCATGCAGGGGAGGCTGCCATGAAGCAGCCTCTGTCTGTGGCAGGCCCTGCTCACTACAGAAAGGGGCTGCTCTGCAGCAGCAGCTCCTGTCTGTGGGGGGGCACTGAGCTCCCTGCAGACAGAGGTTGTTGCCACCCAGCACTGCTGCCTCTGTATCAGAGACAGCAGTGCAGAGAAGCAGGTGGGAGCTGGTCTGTGCAGGAAGCCAGTTTTTAAACCAGCTTCGTTCGCAGACCAGCTCCTGCCTGCCACCCTGCGAGTGGGGGTGGGAGCTCACTGGCTCTTGGCCCTGCCTCCAGAATCTATTGAATAGTCATGTAACTGTTAAAATTTGGTGTGGTTACACAACTATTCAATTACATGCAATTTAACATCCCTACCCTTGGAGGCCAAGTATAGAACTACAGAAAGAATTTCAGATGATCAGCATATGCTTTTCTTGGAGTCAGCTCCCAAATCCAGATTTGAACCTATCACTTAAAATATAATTAGGGTAGCCAATTTTGGTTGGATGTTTTCCTGGAGATTTTGTCACGACAATCTTTAATTAAAGTTTCATCTAATTCCTAGGCCAATCCTGGAGGGTGGCAAACATAAATATAATAATCTGCTTTACCATTGTATATTTGATTTGTCAGTATGTTCTAACTTCACCAGAAATGAATCAATCCTTACTTTCCATGTCATTGTGTAGAAGATTAAGGTACATGGAGAAGTTTCAGAAAAGACAAAGATGCAAACGAGGTATAGAGACTTAACCACATTAAAGTCTTACACACTTAAATGTTTAACATGCTTAAAGTTTTCATTTGAATAAAAGACTTCCACTGCATTCTGCTCCCAGCATCCATTATTCTCCAACTGTGTCTTTTTTTTTTCTCTCCTTACCCCAAAACTTCTTATGGACTCAGGCTCCAGACCTTTGGGTTGCCAGGTGTCCAGTTTTCAGTTGGAACACCCAGTCAAAAAGAGACCCTGGTGACTCCAGTCAGCACTGCTGACCAGGCTGTTAAAAGTCTGGTTGGTGCAGGGCTGGCAGGCTCCCTACCTGACTCCACACAACTCCCCAGAAGCAGCAACGTGTTCCTCTGGCTCTGAGGTACAGAGGCAGCTGAGGGGATCCACACAATGCTCCCACCCAAAGCGCTGACTCTGCAACTTCCATTGGACACCAGTTACAGTCAATTGAAGCTCCAGTGGTGGCACTTGTTGGCAGAGGCAGCACACAGAGCTGCCTCATCACGCCTCTGCCTAGGAATCGAGGGACAAGTTGTAGCTTCCAGGGAGCCCACCAAGGTAGGAACTTCTCACCCCTTCTTACTACCCTGCCCCAGCTCTGAGCCCCCTCTCACATCCAAACTCTTTTCTGGAGGCTCTACCCCACACTCCCTCCCCAGAACCCTCACTCCCTCCTGAGGCTTCTCCTGCACCCAAACTCCCTTGCAGAGCCTGCTTCCTACCCCACACCTTAACCCCTATCCCCAGCCCAGAGCCTCTTTCCATACCCTGAACCCCTAATTTCTGGCCCCCTCACCCAGAGCCCATTCCCCCTCTCACACAGCAACCTCTGACAGCCTGGAGCTGCCTCCCACACACTGAATGCCTTGGCTGCAGCTTCGCGCCCCCCCCTTCCCCACACACACACGCAGAGTCCCCTCATCCTTGGCCCACTCCAGAGCCTGCATCCCAATGCCCTGCTCTAGCCTTGAGGCCCCACCCCAGAGCCTGCCCTCCCAACTGGAGCCCTCACACCCTCCCACACCTTGACTTCCCCCTCTCCTGCCCCCCCCCCCGTCCCAGCCTGATGAAAATGAGTGAGGGTGGGGGCAGTGAGTGACAGGCTGATAGAATGGTGTGAGTGGAGGGGGGCTTCAGAAAGGGTAGGGCGTTGGGGCAAGAGTGTTCATTTTGTGCGATTAGTAAATTGGCAATCCTATTTCCAGTAGGGGAACCCTACTTTGGTGGGCCTCTTGACAGCTGTCAAAACAGAGCTTTCCTCTTGTGAACTACCTCACTTTTTTTTAACATTAGCCCTAAAACTTTAAAAGAAGAAAAAAAAAAGAAATCAGGAAAGGTATTAACAAACATCTTTGCAGTAATATATAGATTCTAGGGAATATATTTTCATTTACATTAAGGCTGCTTTACACAACATTGGCAGTGTACTTGGTGAAATTAATTTACAAAATGTTCCTAAGTCCAGTTCAGTGGTCCCTGTAAACTGTGCACTTTTCTTACTGCTCAGGAGAGATTCAAATGCTTTCCAGTTGATTAGCAGAGTGGCCACAGCTATGTGTTTTTGTTTCTACTGATGGTGGACATTCACACATGTCTTGGTGCATGTAAAAAAAATATTCTGCATATAGATAGATTAGAGGGAACTTTGGTCCAGTTCCTTCAAACAAGGATGGGAACAAATGGTGCACAGACAACTTCTTTTAACAGAAATCTCGTGTAAGGAGGCTCTAAAGTAGGTGTCTAGCTCTGTCCCTTTCAAGGCTCTCCTGCCAAAGTCACTGCTTAACCAGTAGTATTTCCAGCACCAGGCTCCTCCCATTTTTATCTGGAAAACCCTGCTAGTCTCAAGGCCCTAGAGACTGAACAAGGGGCTTGACCATTAATCCCTCCTTGGTGCAGCTGGTTTGCTAGGTCTGCCAACTTTCTACTTGCACAGAACCAAACACCCTGTCCTCCACTCATTTAATCTCCCCCTCCCTCCATTGCTTGCTCTCCCCTCCACCCTCACTCATTTTCACCAGGTTGGGGAGAGAATGGGCTGTGGGAGGGAGGGAGGACTCTGCCTATGACCAGAGATGAGGGGTTTGGGATACAGCAAGTGGTTCTGGGCTGGGAGAGGGGGTGCAGGTAGGTGAGGGCCCCAGTTGGGGATGTGGGCACTGGATAGGGTTCAGGGGAGAGAGCTCCAGGCTGGAGCAGAAGACTGGGGTGCAGTGGGGATGAGGACTCCAGCTAGGGGTGTGGGCTCAGGGGTGGGGCTGAGAATGAGAGGTTTGGAGTGCAGGAGGGGGCTCCAGGTGCTGGTGTGGGCTCTGGAAGGGAGTTTGGTTCTAGGAGAGGACTCTGGGCTGGGGCAGGGGGGTTGGCATACAGGAGGGGTATCGGGGTCCTGGCAGTGCTGACTCATGACTCCCAATAAGTGGCTGCTAAGTCCTGCAGCCAATAGGCCAGGGGTGGGAATCTTTTTTTGGATTGGGGGCGCCTTGAGCCACAAAAAAAATCATTTGGCAGAGGCACAAAAAAACCCCTCACTAACGTAGTCCCCGACTGAGAACGAGAAAGACACTCCCCACATTTGCCTCACCCAGGCCAGTAGATTTTATGACCCCCCAAGGCATTTGGGTGAGGCTAAAAATGAGGGGTTCAATGTGTGGGAGGGGGCTGCCAGGGAGCCCCAAGCCTTGGGGGCTGGATCCAGTCAAGCCAGGGCTGCATCCAGCCCCTGGGCCTTAGGTTTCCCACCCCTACCTTACACGCAGAGTCTCTGTGCTGCCCTCTCACCCGCAGCTCCCACTGGTCACAGTTCCCAGCCATTGGGAGCTGCAGAGCCAGCACTTGGGGCGGAAGCAGCATGTGGAGCCTTGCTGAGTCTAGGGGCTACCTGGAGCCAGGGCAGGTAGGAAGCCTTCCTTAGCCCCAAGCACCCAGTGTAAAAAGACTTTTACTGGCCTGGTGAACATGCCAGAAACCAATCACCTGGCAACCCTATTCTCTGAAACACAGAACTCAAAGATGCCTGATGAAGGATGTTTTAACCTACATTATATCTTTATTTCAGGGTGTTGGACCTGCATAGTATCATTAACTCTATGGGGAATTTTATCCTGACTGCATATTTATTAGTGTTCCTTAATGGGCAAGCCATTAGCATAAGTGATAAATATTAGGCAAGCTATTGGTATCCTTTGGCATAATATGTTACTTGATACACAGTAGCATTAAAATGCACATTTGTAAGGCCCATACTGGGCAAAAAAAAACACAAAATAATGTGATGGCTTAACTTCCTTGAAACCAGTGAAAAGTAGGACTATTGATGTGCATCTCCACCAAACAGTGAAGAGGAGTCATACTGCTACTAATGCTTAGTGTGACTATGTCCCAATTTGATCAGAGACAGTCCCTTTGTTAAGCCATGCCCTGGCTGTTCCGACTTTTCTGGCCAAAGAAAGCATTTGTCCCTTTGCTCTTGCCAACTTGATCAATTGTCAAGAACAAGTGGGACAGATGCCCACGTCTGTCAAAAAAGTGGGGTGCAGAGGAACATGGAGAGGGGCAGTGGTGACACCAGCCTCACGTGGGAAGGGAAGGGCTCACTTGCGCGGGGAGGCACGATTCAGGCAAGCAGTGATACTGACACCAATTCCAAGTCTAGGGAGTGGGGGGCAGACAGGCTCAGCCTCTAGCTCCATGAGGAGAAAGGGAGCTCAAGTGAGCATCTCTGGCTTGCCCTGTGCAGGGGGCAGCCTCGGGCAAGCGGATGTGGGAGCAGGACATTGGGGGCGGGAGGGTAGGGCTTAGGCTAGCCCCACGCAATGAGAATAACTAGGGCTAGCCCCGCGTGGGGTCCTGTTTTCCCTTTGGGAAATATGTCGCCCTGCTTGAGTTGAAAGAACCAGCACAGACATTTATACGCATGCACCTACCACTGGCCATTATTATTACACCACCCGCTTGTTCATGAAGTGTTTTTATCCCTTAACATTCCTGGAATTGGCTACTGTGCACGGGCATTGTGTGACAGCGGCGCTAACCCATTTGAAAGCGCGAGTGTTGCAACCTCTTTTGCAACAGCTCTTTCTTTCCGGCAGTGCTATGTGATTTGTGAAAGGGGTGTGTGCAGCACCAGGCTGTCTTGCAGCATGCTAGATCCTGAGGGCAGTGTGGAGCACAAGGCTTCCTCCTCCAAAGTTTTTCTCATCCCTCTAGCCATGTTCCTTGCCTTAGCAACGCTGCTTTTCTTAGCATTCGCCACCTCCCAGCAGAAAGAGACTGATTTTTATACATTTAAAGTGGTAAACATCAGGGGCAAGCTAGTCTCTCTGGAGAAATACAGAGGCTCGGTAAGTTTGCCGAAAGATTAGCAGCTGCTCTCATTGCTGAGTGTAACTAACCAGCCCATATTTGAATGCTTACATACGGGAGTGGGCAAGCAGCTTATTCATTAACTTGCATGCATGCATGGTTAGACTCTCATTTGTGCATTTTGTTTAAGTCCTGCGGAATAGTGCTTGCATGTTTACTTTGATATCGTTATGGGTTTCTCCATTCTTTTAATAAAACGTTTGCAGTCTAACCCTTGTGTGTGTGTGTGAATCTGTTTCTTGGGCAGGCTGCTCTGTGTATACGTGGCACAGGGGGCTGCTTGCCGTTCGTTCACTAAAAGGTATATATTGGATTCTAATGTCTATTAACCATGAAAGCATTTGTCCAGGATAGGAAGCATGTGGTATTCTAAAGCAAAGGTCTGTATTGCAAGATATTTACTCTTTTGAAAGACTTATCTTTTGCTGAATCCTGTTTGAGGTAAAATGGAGAAAAAGGAATGGTATGTAATCAATATGTCAAGGAATGCACCATGATTACCAATAAACAAATCTGAGAAAATAAGTCATTGTAGATTAATATCATAATCTTCTTTAAAGCATAGAAATTAATAGCGGCAGATCTGTTTTTATATTACCGGTAATTTAAATTTTACTTACATATTATTCAGGGAGTCCTAAATGAAACATTCTTCCCAAAAGATGTACTCATTTGCTAAAGTTCTTGAAATGTGATAAGGATATAGTGATAACGAAATTTCACAATTATGAGTATTCAAAAATTATCACATAACTTTGCATCCAACATAGTCAGCATTTGCATTTAGAAACTGCAAAGCAAATCAGGACTGGTTCTTCATGCTACAATGGTAGAGAAAAAACAATTCTAAACTTGGCTTATCAGTATTTTCCAGTCCAGCACAAGGCAGCTGGACTGTACCTGCAAATTTGGCCCTAAAAGTTAAAATTGGCAGGGAGGACCCAAGATTGATGTTCCATGTGTTTAACACATTAAATGTCACAATAGTGTTTTCTTCGGTTTCTTGTTTAGTGTTCATGTATGAAAATAATAAAGTAAGAAAACAAGGACATTTACAGACAAAAAATGTTAAACTGGAGTAAAGGTTGAGAGTAAATATTAGTAACTTAAGGGTGAAAAAAAATTAAAAGAACACTGTAATTATTAAAAAAAAATAAACAAAAGATCAGGAAATTCAGAGTTAAGTAAACTTTTAAAAATAATCCAGTAGTGTGCCATCTAGTGGAAATGTACAGTCCTATTTTCATAGTACTTTTTAAATACATTTTTTATGGCTGGAAGGGCCTCTTAAGATAATCTGTATGGAAAAACTGTTGTCACGCTCCCGTGTCTATATCCTATATATTTCTCTTTTTTTTCTTCATCTATTTTTTTTTCTCTTCAGCACCTGCGGAAGTGAATTGTAGCTCACGAAAGCTTATACTCTAATAAATCTAGACGGGGCCAAATGGCGGAGAAGCCTCCTCTTTCGGAGGAGCCCTTATTCCTCGTACAACGAGGTATACAAGGCTCCATTTGTTTCTGCAAAAAAAAAAAAAAAAAAAAAAAAGTGGAAGAGCAAACACGTTCCCTGGATGTGGCAGAGTTTTCCCGGGATAAAAGCCCTGCAGTGTAGGCGTACCCAGAGTGACCAACCCCATGATAGTCCATAATGGAGGACTTCTCATCACAGAGAGGTACTGGGGATGCATAATTTTTTCTTCCTAGTCTCAGCTAGGCCTAATATAAGGAGGAAATATACTTACCCAGATTGACCAGCCTTCACCCAACGCAGGACCATTCAGTTCCTTGCTGTGGTTCTCACACCATGGGAGCCCTCCATGGACTCCTTGTGGGAGGGAGAGGATGCCAGGACAGTGTTCCCCCTTTCTGAGTAGAAAAGCAGAGACTCACATGTGAGGGTCCCACATTTCACAATCCACCTGAAACTTGACTCCATATGTAAATATTTAAATGAGGTTAGAACAATAAAATCTCCCTCATGGCTAGGACCCAATCAAATTCACTGCCCATTTTGGTCAATCTCACAATCATAGGAGTTTAAAAAATGTTACATTTCAATATTTCAACTATTACAACTACATTATATTGTAGCTGTAAAATCCTGACCCAAATGGGAACAAGGGAGGTCACGAGGTTATTGTAGGGAGGGCTGTCATATTGCTATCCTTACTTTTGCACTGTTGCTGATGGAATCACTGCCTTCAGAGCTGGGCAACTGGAGAGCTGTGGCTGCTGGCTGGGAGCTCTGCTCTGAAGGCAAAGCCACCACCAGGAACAGCATAGAAGTGGGATGCTACTGGCACCCTTATTTCCGTGCTGCTTCCTGTAGAGCTGAATCTTGAACAGTTGCCACTCTCTAGCTGTCCATCTCTGAAGGCAGCAACATAGAAATAAAGGTGGCACAGACTGTTACAGTATGATATTGCCACACTTACTTTTGTGCTGCTGCTGACAGGGTGCTGCCTTTGAGAACTGGGTGGCTGGCCAACAGCTGATGCTCCAGCTGCCCACCTCTGAAGGCAGCACAGAAATAAGGGTGGCAATACTGTGACGCCTGTAAAATAATCTTGCAATGCGCCTGCAATTCCCTCTTGGGTCAGGACCCTTAATTTGAGAAAAGCTGGTCTTTCCTATGAAATATGTGTAGTAGAGGGTAAAAGCATGCACAAAACCAGCTTTTGCAGTTTGTGATGCATTTTTCATGGCTGTGAATTTGATAGGGCTCTATTTATCTCCCATCATTTTGCTGAGGCTACGTCTACACTACAGGGTTTTTGCACAAAAACCCGCAGAGCGTCCACACCTCAAGCGTGTTTTTGCGCAAGTACATTTAAAGTAAATCAGAAGAACAGGGTTTCTTGCGGTGTAGGTATTTCTCTTTCTACGAGGAATAACTCCTTTTTGCACAAGAGCTCTTGCGCAAAAAGGTGTGTGGACGGGCAACGGGGTTTTTGCGCAAAAAGAGCCAATCAAAAAAAGCACAAGTACTCTGGTGGCTAGTCTGTGCATAGCAATCAGAGCTTTCTTTCGAGAAAGCGTCCATGCAGTCTGGACGCTCTCTTGCGCAATACGTTTTTGCAAAAAGCTTTGTGTGCAAGACGCCAGCAGTGTGGACGTAGCCTGAGTGTCACATCTACATCCACCCTCTAGCAGAGGTAGTCAATGATTCCATGGTTCATGTCTGTTACACCATAAGTTGTGGATGCATGGACCTTGTAGTTGTCTGTAGGGATAAAACTCAGAACCCTCTACTCCAAAAACAGACTCTGATTATGTGAGCTTAGGAAGAGCTCCTCTAAAGGTAAACACAGAAAGCTCAGAAAACAATGAATGGTCCTGCGGCACCTTAGAAAGTAACAAAAAAATGTAGACAGTATCATGATCTTTCGTGGGCACAATCCACTTCTTCAGATGAATGGAGTGAGGGGTCCAGGATACAAATAAATAGCAAAGAAAGAGAAGGGATGGGGAAGGAAATAGAAGGAAAAAAATTGTCCATTAGAATGACTGTGCTAAATGAGGCTAATAGAGTGGTCTGTAAGTACCTGGTACTTAATTTTTTATGTCATTAGGGTGTGGAATGTAGCTGGGTACTTACAGATCACTCTATCAGCCTCATTTAGCATGGATACTCTAATTGACATTTTTTCCCCTATTTTTTTAATAGGAGGTTTAAAACAAACAAACAAAGTTTTTCGTCACACAGCACACAGTCAGCCTGTGGGACTCCTTGCCAGAGGAGGTTGTGAAGACCAGGATTTCAGCAGGGTCCAAGAAAGAACTAGATACATTCATGGAGGTTAGGTCCATCAATGGCTATACTATGTAAATATGACTTACAACAATATTTAATATTTTTGCAATATAGGTTTAAGATTAGCATACTTGGATTTTCTTACGAAAAGAAGAAGGAAATTCTAATATTGAAAGGCCCACCGAAGGCCAATGGATGTTGCAGCTTTACAAAATAATTTTGGTACTTGAGATGGTGCACTTGACTCAATTCAAAGTTCCAGGATAGGGTGAGAGAGAAGGAAGTCTACATTAAACTCACACATTTATTAAACAGTTAGTGTCTTAAATAACCTCAATTGTCATGCCCCACTGAGACAAAAATAAGTGAATAAAGAAAATATAAAGAAAATGTTAACACACTGCTGCAAACAGATCAATTCATTTAATTTTCTGGAATGCAGGATAAAACCAACTGTTACTAATTTGTTAAATAGTTTTGTGGGTTTTTTTTTTACACTACTTAATGATGTATAAATAAGGCATAAAAGGGTTTCTATTTTTTAAAAAAGTTTGTTCTCCTTGTTCTGTTACCTCAGAAATCTCATAATCCTAGCTTTATGGAAGATATTCTGTAACCGTGAGGGCAACCCAGGCTAGTAAGTGGGCCACTCCCTCCTTCATCTCAGCAGGCCACAAGATTGTTGTAATCAAGACAATCTCCTGGGATAAGGCCATTTTGCTAACAACACTAGAATTCACAGGGTATGCCGAATGAACCGTAGTAGTGCTTTGATTGGATGCAGAGGGAGCACATGGATCTCACAATGTTGTATGAGACCTCAGCATGGACCTTATTTCACATGCCCTTGATTTAAATATGTCATTTTTGTAACACCGATAGGAAAAAACTACGGAGACAAAAAAAACCCAGCAGAATCTGACAGCCCTGTGCATGAGCAACAGTAAACAAAATGTCTTGTGGGCCACACATAGAACCCCAGTGGACCACATGTAGCCCTCGGATCACGGTTGCTCACACCTGTTCTGGAAGGTCTCAAAATGTCCATTGTGAACACTCAGACATTTTGCAGTGATTGTTGTGCTGAATATTTAGCAAAAGCTTCTTTCTCCAAAATATTAAGTAGTCATTGAAGTTAAATCAATGTTAATTTAAAAAAATCATATTTGTATTGACAAATATTCTTCTTTAAAAATATATCAAAAACAAGCAAAATAAAGT